AGTCTCATATTATTCTGAGCTGCAGTGATGGAAGAAGAGTGCGAGCATCGATACAGTCAGGAATCCTGTCAGATTAAAGCATATTTGTTCAATTAAAATGCAGCTATCATAGTTATTATATATTTATTTAGTGTGATAAACTCTCCTCTGTTTGTTAGAAGCTCTGTTTTAAAACCAGTGGACACATGCAAGGTCTGGAACAGCAACACGATTCCACTGATAAATATCTACTACTCGTTTATTTATCACCTTATTGTAAACTCTTTTGTCCCTGTCAGGATCCTGTAGGAATGATGACTCCGTTTTTCCAGGCATCTGATTGGTCAGTAGTTTGGCTGTTGACAGGTTTTGATCTGATCCTCTAAGTTAACCGGAGCAGGTTAGGAGTTCAGTGAAAGTTACCATGGTGATTTACTCCAGTAACAAGTGAACCACCGTCGTAGGACTGAAAACCCAGAGTTAAACCTGAAATTACCTTCATAATCTCAAATCCTGCTTCGTAATACAGGCCTCTGGTCTCCAGCCGGATCCTGTGGTGACTGTGCAGACCTTCAGGGTTGAGCCTGTGTGTGAAGCCTCCATGTCTTCTTCTTCTTTGCACCAGCATCCACATCTGAAGTATCCTCTACTGTCATGGCTGCAACTTTATGTTCCATCAGGATCATCAGAATGATCTCACACACTAATACACACTAAGCCATTCACATCCATTTTATTTACATCACACATCCTCTGTCCTCAGACCCTCGACTCAGATGAGGATCATTTCCCATTAATGAACGTTTAATCTGATCAAGTTCATTTATCAGTATTAATGGATTCCCTTGTTTCATTTGTTTGTTAGTTACTGTGCTTCGGCTCCAGACAAACTGACCCTGGTGTGATAAGTGAAGTTGGTTGTATTGTGTTCCTTCAGTCTTCACTACATCTACTACAGGAGTGTGGACAGACAGCTGTAACCTCACAGGTTGGCGGAAGGACACGGCTGTGAGGCGGTGACTCTGCTTTACTGCTTCCTGTTGTCTCAGCACCTGTCCTCCACCTGCTCCCTCTGTTCTGCTCCTCTTCATCATCAAAGTGGTCACCGTGCCAACAGGGAACCATCACCCTCCAAATATAAACACAACATATGCTGTTGTTGGGTCTGAGCTCTGCCTCATGAGCTGGACACCACAAATGTTGAATCATCAGTTGTCTATTAATTTATTGGCTATCGTTAATTAAGAAAATACTACTATTAGCCTAAACTAAAAGGCAAAATAGCCAATATTATACAAACACAATGTCTAATCTAGTATATACAAGTGTGTGTGTGTGCATGTGTATGGAGGTGTGTCTGTGGGGACACAGACAAAGGCAAGATGGCCGACTCAAAGTGGTCACTGTGGTCACCACATGACCTGAACAAAGAAGACTACACAAGATGGCGATAAACAAAGAAACTACTCAAAATGGCCACTGAGACCACCTAGTGCGTGGAGGAGGGAAGGTGTGAGTTTCTTCGTTAGCGTAGCTCATGTAATCTAAAGGTACCAGGTTAGAGGGAGAGGGTTAGCTACATGCAGGTTGTAGAACTGAGGCGTACTACAGGTATGTGTGTGAACATACAAGTACCTGATTAACTGTATGACTGACCACAACCTAAGCAAACATTACAACAACAAGACATTAATCAACAAGTACATTAACAAAGTTAAGACTTCTGCTGCTTAGCTATGCTGTGCTGTGCTAGGAGAGTTAGGCCCAGTCAGTTAATGTTACCCAGTCCTTGGAACAAAACAAAGAGATCCTTTCCAGTGTTGTTGTAAAGTCCAGTGAGTTGGGAGGCTTCCTGGTGGAGTATAGTCCTGTCTGGCTCTGTCCTCACAGAGTTAGCCGTTCCTCGCTAACTCTGCTGTGGCTCCCGTTGCTTGGAAAATCAGCTGGCTGACCTTGCGTTGTAGCTGCTGATTCTAAGGAGAACTTGGTTCACTTAAGTTTGCAGGCTGCTGTGAGCAGGCCGGTAAGAGAGCTGGTTTCTCAGGTAGCAGGGCTGACCTGCGCTGGGGCCTTGGTGCTCCTTGAAGAGCCGAGAAGAGAAAAGAGGAAGAGAGAAGGAGAAGGTTTTGTTTGGTGACACCTTGGGGAGTCACATGTCACACACTAACCAACGCTGACAGGTAAGTGAGGTCCCTGGGGGAGGGTCGTCCCCAGGTGTGAACAGTGGGGAACTGTGGGGAAATGAGTTCCTTTGTCTGTGGAGCAAAGAAACATTTGGTCTCTTGAATGAATCCCAACACACACACGCACACACACACACACACACACACCCACACACACACACACACACACACACACACACACACACACACACACACACACACACACACACACACACACACACACACACACACACAGGATATCTCCCTGGTTACCTGCTGGTCAGGTAACAACAACAACAACAACAACAACATTTCAACAGCAACACAAACGGCAGCCAGTACAATCAACACCTATTTGCCGCAGGCTCAATAAAACTGAACATTATAACTGTTGGATTAGACTTCACTAGTTTTAGCTAGGTGTTCCTTATAAACTGAAAACTGAGTGTTTAAACAAGTAAATAGAGTATAGATAAATAAATGTGTTAGAGCTGCTCAAACAGTAGGTAATGTTAATCTAAATCAATTAATCCTAAATTATTCCAAACACTATTTAATTGTGGGTTTTTTGTTGTTGTGTAATTTTTTTAAAAAATTTAGCAGAAAACACTTCATGTTTTAACTAAGTGGGAGCTGTTTACTGGTGTATACAGGAGAAGTTTTCTTTTAAAACAATAATGTTCTTTACTCTTTCCTCAAGCTGCCATCCAGCTCCAGTTCTCATCAATGTCTATCTTTGAAGGTTAATAATAATGATAATATTAGTTGGTTTTACATGATGTCATATTTCAAACAGTCTGTCTTCTTCAGCCTCTCTGTCTCTTTTTCTTCAGATATCACACAGATTTTGTCTCGTTATGGGACACACAGTTTCACGACACATCACACACCTCTGTGTGTATTCATAAAATAAAATGACTGTCAATCAGACTGACATGGTGCTACATGTAAAATAAATTAAAAAAAACTAAACCTGCATTAACTGCAGTTGCTGTTTGAGACAATAAGCAGATCTTTTCATTCCTTGATGAACGACTTGTTCCAGGTGAGGAATGGGGGACAGGGGTGGCTGGATCCAGATCAGTCTGTATCTGTACTGGACGATGTGGTCACAGACTGGTTCACAGCCCACCCCAGGACTGTGTCACGTCTCCTTCAACTCTCCACCCCTTAGCCCCACAGAGGAACCCTCCTTTGGACAGTTTACAGTCAGACATCCTCTTGGACACAGTGGTGCTGGACGTCTGGACGTGTCTGCAGGAGACTGTCAGGACGGATCAGGCTGCAGAGAGACTGAAGAGAGGACAGTAGGTCTGATGATGTGGACGAAAGGCAGAACACAGGACTGACTGCTGTTGTATTTCTATAACTGAGCTAAACAAGTATGTAGTGAATATGTACAGTTTGTATTACACTGTGCTGGAGTTACTTTAGTTTCATTTTGTGTTTTCATGTCTGATTCATGTCTGTAACATCATCACTGTGAGACATAACAGTCCATGCAGTCTCTTTGTTTTGATGGAATCTGGTTTACATCAAATAAATCAATCAATAAGAGATCATTAAAGACAGTGGGAATCTGTACTGTAATGCTGCCTGTTGTTATAGTGACACAGTTTTCCTGTTGGAGGACAGATGTCAGAGTTCTGGTCCCAGAGCTGATCCTGAGATCTGGATCTGGTCTGTAGTTTAACTGTTGTAAAGAGAGCTGATGGTTTTCATACTGTCCCTGATTAAAACCATCAGAGGGTGTTTCCTGTGGTCTGATGTCGAGGTGATGATACTAATTTCTGTGCTACAAACTGAACATGAGTGGTTTGAGAAATGTGGCTCTGATGAAAGACACTCTCCAGGTGCATTGTGGAAAATCTAGGATAGGCTATGTGCTTCTGACCTCTGATTTAATCTGTCTCTCACACTGAACAAGATTCACTGAACCACTGCAGAACTGATGTCAAGGGGTTTGTATTGGCCACACCAGAGTGGAGACTCTTCTCCAACATTATCATCATCATCATCATCATCATCATCATCATCATCATCATCAGGAGGCGTATGATTGGTCCAGATTCATCCTGCAGCAGGACAGCCAGTCCGAACAGCCAGAGTCATAAAGAACTATCTTTAGAGACCAGGAGAACCAGGCGTCCTGCAGCAGATGGTCTGGCCCCACAGAGTCCTGTTCTCAGCATAATGGAGTTCGTCTGGATCACATGAAGAGACTGAAGAACTGAGGCAGGTTCTCTAAGAAGTTGGATCAAGCTACCTGACAAGAACCTGAAGAACTGTGAACAGGTGTTCACAGAGAATTCGAGCCAGTTTAAAGGTAAAGGGGAGTCACAGCAAATACTGGTCTGATTCAGGTTTTTAATAAAAAACTATTCATGGTTTGAAAACTTCCTCAATTTACTTTTTGAGCCTAAAACCTTCACACAGGAGCGCTCGCCCCCCCCCCCACACACACACACACACACACACACACACACACACTGTACAAGACTCAAGGTGGTCCAGATCATGATTCTGTTTCAGAGGTTGGGGATGAAATTCCCGCACAATGATGCCTTGCAGTGACTCCCACTTGCACCCCCCCCCAGCACGCCCCCTGACCGCCCACAGATATTAAAGGTTGCCATCCTCACGTAATAATCATCATCTTCATCTTTACCATCATCTTCATGTCACCTTAAAAACTCCTCCGGTGGTGACGTCACTGTGCTGTCCTGGCTCGAGCTGCAGCAACACGGCGCGAGCAGAGAGAGAGAGAGAGAGAGAGAGAGAGAGATAGAGAGAGAGAGAGGGAGAGAGAGAGAGAGAGAGAGATATCAGCAGTAGCGCGCGGACACGGCACAGGTGAACGCACGAGCCTGAACGTCCGCAGGAGGAAAAACGGCTAAGAAGGAGAGGAGAACCGAGGAGGATTTCAGAAAAAACACGTTCGTTTCTGTTTTTATCCGCGCGGGTCGCTTCTTCCCGGTGCGTCCCTCCTTCCTCCCTCCTCCTCCTAATCCTCCACCTCCTCTTCCTCCTTCTCTCTCGCCGATATCGATCTATAAGGTGATCGGCGATCATATTTTCTCCGGCTCGACGCTTGTTGACTACAGCTGACTCAGGAAGGAAGGAGGGATATAAAGGACGGAAGAAAAGCAAAGGAAGGAAGTAAAGTAGGCAAGTGGATTTGTGACGGGGGCCAGAAGACCACCAAGCCGCACCGCACCCGGAGATGGAGGGCAAAGAGAAGGCACCGGCAGGTAGGATGAAAAGGGGAGGGGGGAGGGGGGACTGGTGGATGCTGATCGAGGGATGCTTGGAAGTTTCCTGACAATGGAGGGATGTATGGGAGGAAGTTGGTGTCTTTTTCCGGGGGAGGGGAGGTGGATGGAGGGGTGGAGATGCTGATGGGATGGAGCAATGATGGATGGATGGATGGATAGGTGGAAGGATGGAGGGAGTGATGCATGTTGGGTAGAAGTGTACTGCGGTATCCTGCTGCCCTGCCTGCCACTGCTGCTCACATCCTGAATGCAGCTGCACTGGAGCTTTTAGGTGTGGTTATTATGGGATGGGGTGCAGTGTGTGTGTGTGTGTGTGTGTGTGTGTGTGTGTGTGTGTGGCTCTGCTGTGTGTTTGTTTTTAACCATACGGCTGAAATGCTGAGAGCAGCCTGATGCAGCAAAACACACAGAGGGAGACAGACAGGTGGGCTGAGGGAGAAACAGAGGATTAAGAGACAGAGACAGGTGAGCAGACAGACAGACAACAGGCTGGACAGAAAGATGGGATGTAGCAGGCAGACAGGTAGGAGCGTAAATACATGAAACAAGGAGGTAAGACTGACAAAAGACTTGAACAAGGGGCAAGTGAGGACAGACGACAGGACAGAGAGACAGACAGGAGGGCAGAGAGAGACACAGATGAGATGCAGTTATAAGGTCTGACAGAGAGAAGGGCAGGTAGTATAGAGCAGAGAGACAGACAGGAAAGTTTGACAATGACAAAAGACAGTGCTGTATCTGACTACAGTCATGTCAATAAAGCTTCTTTGAATGTGAATTTGACAGACAACAGGACAGGGAGACAGGCAGGAGGACAAACAGACGGGTGTAGAGAGAGAGGGACAGTTGAGAGGCTGTGAGACAGATGCGATGCAGAGAGACAGGTGTAAGATATAAGAGGAGAGTAGAGAGACAGACAGGAGGAGGACAGTTGTAAGTTAGACAGGAGGACAGAAGAGAGATGGGATGGTCGAGCAGCAGAAGAAGTTTGAGACAGGTGGAAGACTGGGAGACAGACAGGAGAGGAGATAGACAGGTCGAAGGGCTGAGAGACAGACAGGTAAAAAGAGAGGACTGAGAGACAGGTATAATCTGAGAGGCAGCAAACATCAGGGAGACATGTATGAAAGTAGAAAGACAGAAGGATGACAGATGATCAAAAGTCTAAGAGACAGGCAGGACACGTTGAAGACAGACAAAAGGGCTGAGAGAAAGAGAGAGACAGTTGTGAGACCTTAGAGAGAGACGGTGTTTGACAAGTGGTTTTCTGGCTGAGAGTTGGAAGAAAGACAGGAGAGCTGGGACACACACAAGGCTTGAGTGCAGAGACACAGACAGCAAGGGGGTAAGACAGGGAAGAGGGTGGAAAGACAGACAGGAGGACAGCTGACAGACAGACAGATGTGATCCAACTGTGTTTATTTGTGTCTGGGTGTGTCCTGAAGAGGAGTCCATACAGAGTGATGCATTGTGGCAAATGTAGTTCTCTAGGCCTGTTTAGTGTCAGTCTCTGAAACTGAGTCCCAGTCTGTGGTCTGGGTCCAGATGTTGGAGCTGATGTTAGCGACAGAGGCAGGTCACTGGCAGAGGCTGCTGGTTTGATTCCTGGTGCATACTTGATGAACCGTCTCAGGTGTTTTATATTGTCTCACTGTTGTGTTGTTGTGTTGTTGTGTTTATCTCTGTCATCGTCACTGTAACTTCATCACGTAGAAACCGCTGTTTATCATTTGTGTCGACACTGTGATTATGTTAGCATCGAGCTAACTTTAGCACATTGTTGTCGATTCATGTGCACTGTCCCACATGAAGAAATCATTTATTTATTTATACTTCAGTATACAATTCTGCCACTTTCAGACAAGTGCTATTTTAAACTCATATCCTTACATATTTATATTTTTGTATTTATATATTATAGCATGAGGACATATTTTTATATTTTATCTTTATCTTTTTATCTTTACCTTTATAATCTACTTCCTATTCTCTATTCTCTGCTGAGGGAGCAACTGTAACTTAACCTAATTTCCCCCTGGAGATCAATAATGTAGTCTTACTCTGACTCTGATTCTGATTAAATAAAACAACAGTCAAAAGAAGACAAACAGTAGAGACACAAACATCAACAGTAGCACCTTCTACATGAGACTCATCAACTTTTACTTTAGGGTTATTTAAGTTTTGACAGAAACTGAATCTTACCTCTGACCCCTCTGCAGAACTGTGTACAGACTGTGTGTAACCTGCTTGTCTGTTTAGAACAAACTGTTGTTGACAGATGAATGGCTGAATAAAAAAATACATTTTCAGATTAATCCTTATTTTTATTTGAGTGATACGATATATCGATTCTTAAAATCCTGAGTTTGATCTTTGTGTTTGTGCCTTCTCTCAGTCCACATGTTCTGAGCTCCGTGTTGTGTGTGTGCAGTGGGTACTTGATGGAGTCATGGCTGCACAGTATGTAACATGTCGAAGTGAGGTGTGAGTCACTGTGAGCTGGATCACAGTGTGTGTGGACCTGCTGCAGGTCACAGGACTGAGGTGAGTCAGGACTCTGACTCTGGACTCAGAGACTGAGCTGTGTGTTTTTGTTGGTTGAAGAGATGTTATCTCCAGCTGTGAGGTCATGGGAGTGGAGTGATCAGTGTGTGGATTCTGCTGTATTCAGTCTGAGCAGCAACGAACATCTGTCTGCAGCTGTCAGGCTGATGAGTCAGTGACAGACAGCTGTGCAGCTGTGTGGGACAGATTCATTTAAAGTTCCATATTTTCCTCTTCTTCTGTGTTTTATCTGAAGTGTGGATCCATAAGAAGATATATTTGTGGTTTTAAGAACCAAAAACCATCTCAGTGTAGTTTTACATCTCCTCTCTCAGGCTTCTCTCTGGAGCTCTAGGAACAACAAGCCAGTGACTGTTTTCTGAGTGATCCAATAAAAAATATAGCAGATTTCAGGTAAACACTCAGAGAAACCAAATCCTGCAAGGCTGGATGGTGTGTCCAAGTGGGCGCGGCTTGGGGCATGGCTGAGGGCGGTGATTGCTTTGTTGTGACCTCACAAAGTTCCAGAAGTCCTGACGGCTGGTTTTAAGGCTTAGTTTCTGAATACAGGCTGTGTGCATTTCTCTGTGGACTGAGGCTTTGATACTTTCACAGTATTAATGTAGAACCTAGACCTGATCTATAATCAAACTACACATGGACAGAGACCTTTAGACTATATGGAGCTTTAAAATGTGCTGCAGGTTTTTATTTTTCTGCCTAAAAATACAGTCATGTTTTAGTTGTTTTGCATTTGCCAAAGAAAATAAAATGCTGATCCAGTTTGATAAGGAGAACTAAACTGAACTTAGCTAATAAACATCATATCTCCTGTTCAAAGCAAAGACTTAGCTGCATCATGTGATCAGTCTCAGGCCTCATTTCATGTGTTTCTGTGTCCAGATAAAATTCAGATGAGATATAAGACAGTTTCATTCACATTCAGTCACAGAGCTGCATCTCTGTTGGTCACATCACACATCTGATTACAGATAAATGTAAATCACAGCCACTGGTGATGCACCTGAAGCAGCGGCTCAGGTCAGTGTCATCAGACAGACCGTGGACAAATGAGTGGATGTCTCCACACTCTGCAGGAAGGATTACATGTGTCATTTTCATTACCCCCCTTCAGAGGTTTGAACAGATACAGTATATGTCTCTGAGGCATTTACTTGAGCTCTGATACAAATCTGATCCACACCAGACTCATGTGACTCGATGTGAATGGGGTCTCATTGTTGGTGTGAAGGCGCAGACTGGGGTAGTGTCCTTCAGTCCAGATGTCTCTGCAGTGTCACTGGACTGTGAGAGGAGGCCAGTGGAAACTATGCTGATGTCAGTGAAACGCCTGTGATGCTTTAAACTGAAGAGACGAGAGTTAAAAGCCGGAGTGAGTCAGCTCTCTGCTGTTCATGAGACAGCTCATAACATAAATGCTGTATAATACCACTGCAGCAGTGGCTCAGCACAGGCTCCAGCCTGAGCTCTCAGATAATTCAAGGAACAGTTCAACCTTCTGATAAACACGTCTGTCATGACTGTGCACTAAATAAAAAGCAGCAACTCAGATCAGCTCAGTGTGGTGTTGTTATGACCAGGAGGTTGTGGGTCCATGTTAAATCCTGTGTGTATTAAATGGAGACTTTTATTTTGATGGTACACTGTTATATTTCCTATTGATTTCTGTTTCTGATTCTCATCTCGATTAATCAATGTATCTATAAAATATCAGGAAACAGGAAAAACACCTGTTATAAAAAATATAATTTCCTGCAGCCCAGAGTGATGTCTTGTTTTGTCCAAACAACATTTCTGAACAGGTGTGAACAGGACCTTCATGGTCTCCTCATGTCCGTGTGGGTTTCCTCTGGCTCCTCCCTGACAAAGAAAAGCATCATATTAAATCTGAGAAGTAGCAAAAGTTTGGCAAAAAAAAAGATCAAAATGAGGAATTGATTATTTGTTGATCGAGTAATTGGTTGATTGACTGATTGCAGCTGTAGTTATTAATATGTTGTGAATGTTTTTATGGTTTCATCCAAAGATGAGACACCTCTTTTCAAAGTAAATATTCAGCCTTATAAGAGGAAGTATTATTATTATTTTACAGACAAACTTTACTTCCTACTGAAAAGTATTAATGTGGCTCAGTGAGTTTAATTCAGCTGCAGGAAAAGGAAAAGTACAATTCTTTGAGCTGAGAAGAACCTCATGTCATGGTTTGATATGGCAGACACCTTTTGTTAGTTTTGTTTGGACTTTTTGCACTTGTTTTATTTTGTAATCTGTTTCCTTGTGTGTCTCAGTGTTTTGCTTCCTGTCTTGGTCCTGTGTCTGTGTGGTGATTGTCTGCCCCGCCCTAATGTGTTTCACCTGTGTGCAATCACCCTTGCCTCCCTTGTCTATATAGTCTTTGTGCTCCCCTT